CCATCAGGAGAGAAACATACTGAGTTGACACAATGACTATGACCCTCCAATTTGGCTTTAAACTTTTTTGTCTTAACATCCCAAAAATAGATAAATGCATAAGAACTACCAAATGTCAATGTAGTTCCATCAGGAGAGAAACACACTGATTGAACCCAACCATACCCGTCTAATTTTGCTTATTATTATCCTGTCTTAACATCCCATAAACGGATAGACTTATCATTACTACCAGATGCCAATATCTTTCCATCAGGAGAGAAACATACTGAGTTGACACAATAACTATGACCATCCAATTTATTCAATTCATGTATTTTCAAATTCTTCCATATACAGTTAAATAGTAGAGCTCCATTCAAATTCACGCCACTAATATCTACATTATAGAATTCTGATCCACTCAAATTACATTATGCAAAATTACCTCCAACTAAAGATGTGTTTTATATCTTTATATTTTCAAGACACCAATTCTTTTAATCTACTTTCATTTCCATCAATAAATGAAGTGAATTTGATCCACATATTATAAATTAGTTATCAACAGCAGTAAGACGTACTAAAAATTTCAAAAATTCGACCAACTTGTTATTATCAACAATTTTCTCTATTATAACTTATTTAATTTCTAAGTATTTCTCAGATGAGTAATTATTTGTATTAAAGTCATTATATTCAAGTTATTTTAGAACACAAGTTATTTTCTTAATATTATTTTTAATCGCATCTAACTTCCACCATTTTTCAAAAGGTTACACATATTCAACTTAAAATAATTATTATTAGAAATGCTTTAGATTTTCCTATTTTGTAAGAAAACTAGGGAATCTGATATTTTTTTTCTGAACATTATATCAATTAACAAGTCGAAAATTTATACATCCACTTCATTTAAAGAAACTAAAACCTCTAAAAAATCCTTTTTCTACTCATAAGTGCAATTCATAATTTTTTTTTAAATAATGAATTTCTTTTTTAATATTTTTTTGAATAAATCATAATTGAGGATAAATACTTGTTTTGGCTATTTCAAAGGCTAATCAATTAAATAAATTTTGAAACATTCAAAATGAACATTTTGTAATTATTTTCTGTTAAAATTCTTAGCAATGATTCAAAAATTTGATTGATCATAATCAATTTAAGTATTTATTTTCTATAAGCATAATTCTTCAATCAATTCATATAATCTTAGGATTCTTCATTATATTTTAAGGGAAATTTATAAAGTTTATAAATTTCTCGTTAATGGTTTATTTATTCATTTATTTTTAAGAAAAGAAGCTAGAACATTTCATAAATTTTTTAGTTAAATTTTAATAAATGAATATATTGATTCTATTAATTTACATCACGAAAGATTATATCTTTCATTTATTGAAATTTATGATGATTTAATTTATAGATAAAAAAAGAAGTCAATTAGATAAAATAAAATGAGAATATATAAATATCAATTTTTATAATTAGTAAAAACGTTGAGAAAGTACAATTAAGTAGTAATAAAAAAAGATAATTTAAATAGTTTAGGTTGTAATTATATATAATTAATAATGAATAATTTACAATATTATATTTAAACCCTTTAAGAAAGTGATAATGAAAATTTAGAAAATTACTAGAAGTATTATAAAAAAGTGGTATTTGAAGTAAAAAATTCTTATATTTATATTAATAAATTAAAAATTTTATTTCGCAAATATCTTAATATTTTAATCTAAAATTATTATAGGATTATTAGGATTAGTCTTTAAAATGTTTAATTATATGAGAAAAAGGAATATATTTTTTTTTAAAAAACCTTTAGGGTAGATAATTAATCTATCATTTTAATTTCTAATTATTAGAAAAATCAAAGATGAATAGAAGCTTTAAAATGCCTAAATAAAGGTTTATAAAAACCTTCTCATTCAATTTATTTCTATTTAAGAAAATGTATGAATAAATATTATTTTTAGTTAATTCTTTAATGATAAACTAATAAAAATATTTATATAACATCTGAATCATATTAAAACAGTTAGATGATATTATTAAATGATTCCAAATGTTTATTATAACATAGATTAAAAGATTGATAATTTATTTAAGTAAAATAAATTTCATAGCTTTCATTCTCATTGGAATAGAATAGTGTAATTATGAATGGTAATCTATTATTATTAAATAAAGGAAACTTAAATTTGATATTTAAAATTACATCTAATTCTGTTAAACAAGGGACACTTTCAGTTATTGTTATTGAGCCCTGACCTTTTTTTGGTTACTGTAACTTTCCCACAACCATTAATTTTAATAGATTTTATTTGTTAAGGTCAATTCTTTCTTTATAAATTTGGAGAACCTTAGGACAATTCTTTCACAATTCCAGTATAATTACATTCACTGTAAAATTACACACATTGCGTAGTTTTTATATATATTAAGACATCTGTTACACCTAAGGCTTCTAAGAGTTTAATCTAAAATTTACCATTTAAGCTCATTTAAATTTGTATTTATAATAATTTATAATGTATCTGCAGTATGACTCCTTTAAATGGTTTCCAAAAAAACGCCACCGAAAATTGTTACACATAAAGTTCTCACTCCCCAGAGTTAATTACAAATTCTATAGATGACATGTCCATCAACATTAATTGAAGCTGTCTCCGAATCCTATGAACCAATATAGTAAACTTTTATTTTACACTTTGATTTCAGTATGATATGGAATATTAGAATATGATCCATATATAACACTTCCTCCACCAAAAATTCCATACCCCCCACCTGGGCAGTCACATATCTTATTTTCACTATATGCCCCAGTGATTTGCCAATTAGAAGACATTAAAAATGTTTATTCCTAGAATTAAGTTTTGCACAAACAAAAAGAATCTACTATAAAAAATACCACCCTAATCATAGTGATTTCAATCATATGATGTGCATTTTTTTTATAAATTAATGATTATGAAAAATAAATATTATCAATTGTTAATGACTATTTTTGAAAAATTCTTCGAAGTTATGGATAAAGCTTGGAATAAATACAGAATTTAGAATATAAAATTTTTTGTTTATATATTTAATTGAAATAATTAATTATTAACACTACTACTAATGTTCTTAATTTTTATAATAAAACGATTATTTATTTATATATTCAATAAATAAGTAAAATTCGATTTAAAATTATTCAAATGTTCTAACTCTTGCTTAAAATTTTTCTAATTTATATAAACAAGAAAATTCACAAAATAAATTGATTTTTCAGGCTATTATTGAAATTTCCCTACTTCCTGGGACTTTTTCATTTTCAGTTTAAATTTAAATAGAACCCTATTGATATTATATTATTCTGATGTTCTATTAGAAATAATGAGACGAGCCATTCTATTTATTTTATTAGATTAATTTCAAGTCAATTATACAATTTAAATTACCAGATGGAAAGCATTGCTGTTTTTTGCTGTTAATAAAACAATATATAAAACTAATTTATTCTTTTAAGTTTTCTCTTCTTTTATTTTACTCTTCTCAATATGGACCTCTGTAACTAAATCTTTTAAGTATTTCTCTACACTCGTAAAAACTGTGATTCTATGTTAATTCTTTGGCTCTTGCTCATTCATGGAATTTAATATATATTATACAATTATCTTAATTTTTTTATAATCTTAAAATTTAAATTATTGGTCTGAATCTCTACATTTTTGGTTCATCTTCTTCATTATTCAGGACTAATCCTTATTTGAAATATCTAGAATGATGAACCTTTTTTTTTCTAAGATAAAAATTATAATGAATTAATAATAATTATTGGTTTATTAAAAAAAAAAAAAAGCAGAACCTATTAATTAAAGTGTTGCTATAGAGATTATGATCTTAATTCAGATTCCATTAATCATCTCTATAACTAAAAATTTTTATAATTTATTCTTAATTATTTGTATACTTATTAATAAATTTTATAGGGATAAAATTTTAGTATCATTTAAATGATGATGATTCCAATAGCATAATCACAAAACTTGTTAATGAAAATAATTTTATAATATTAGGAATCTATTTGGATAACAAATAATATGTTATTTTCAATTACAATTATTCTGCATTATGTTGAAGAGCTTGAAATTGTAACTTTAAAAAAATTTAGAATTCTATTAAAAATAGAAGCAATCAGATGAATGTGTACAAAACTGTAAATTGAAT